AGAGAACATGGGAGGAGGAAGAAGAAAGTCAGACCAGCCATGAAAAAATGGTGATCCAGGCCTCTGGGAGGGCACTGGACAGGTGAGCTTGCCTCATGGAAAATGGTCCACCTCAGAGTAGGGCAATACATTGACGACAAGCCTAGCTGGTCAAGGCTGGCTTCAGGAGATTATCCACATATGACTTTAGTCAAAAGAGAGTCTGGCCTCTGCACGTGCCCTTAACCAGCCGGAGGCATCGAGGTCCACAGTAGGGCACTAGAGGGGTAAGGCTGGGAAGCCAGCTGGAGCCCAGGCCTACAAGAGGACATGTCCAAACACAAGGCACTGGGTGATCAGGAAAGCAAGGCCTCCAAATGTGAAACCAGCCAGGGGAAAAAATGGAGAAGAAAGAGATCCAGAGATGGAAGGGGGAGAGAAAGAGGAAGTTAAGAGTGGAGGATGGGAAGAGAAGTTAAAAAAGGTTAAGAAAAGGAGTTCTAGATGAAAAAGCTCACCATTAGATGGATGAAGTTTAGGTAGGGTCCGAGAGTTTTCTGGTTTCCCTTCGTCTCACTGGAAGACAGGTCCGTTTAGCTGGGTCCAATAGGATATGCTTCAGCCCCCCAAAGGTGCTTATCCCCATCCTGGGTTCGGCACCAAATGAAAGCTTATGGAGCCAAAGATGAAAGATTATTCTGACATGTGAGATGAAAGGAAAACGGAGGCCTGGTTTGTGCAATTAAACTGGCTTTATTCCACCTGGGTGTGGATAGGTAAGATTTCCAACCGGGTCAGGAAGAAATCCACCACCTTGATCTAAAACTCATAGCTGATGTAGGCCTAGTAGGATTCCCAAATGTTGGAAAATCCACTTTCTAAGCCAAATTTCTCATGCAAAACCTACAATTACATTAAAGCCTGAACTTGGAAAGATTATGTACCTGAAGGAGAGTTTCTATAGCATGTGGGGCTGTGAGAATCACGTCTTGCCCTAGTGTTGGCTTGGCAGCCTCTCACACCAGCAGAGCTGTGGTTGCAATGGCTCACAGGCAGCCTGGCCACCCATATGCCACTGTTATCTAGTCTTTTAGACAGGTAGGCCACTGGCCGCCTCCATGGCCCTAGCGTTTGGATTAGCACCCCTTTAGCTATTCCTTTTGTTTCATGGACAAACACGTAGAATGGTTTTGTGATGTCTGGCAGCACTAACGGAGGGGCTGTGACAAGGGCTTGTCTTAAGTTTTTAAAAGCCCAATCCTCTATTTCAGTCCAAATTAAGGGCCCATCACTGGCCATGGCAGCATACAAAGGAAAGTATGACCTTATTGAAAGTAGCTGACCTTCCAGGTTTAATAGAAGGAAAGGAGTGCATATGAACAAAGGAACGAGCCACAAATTCCTGAAGCATATAGAAAGAACTAGACAACTTCTTTTTGCTGTTGATATTTGTAGATTTCTGCTTTTTTCCAAAACTCAGTACAGAACTGCTTTTGAAACTCTAATACTGTTTACAAAAGAGTAATCCTAGCACTCTAGGAGGCTGAGGTAGGTGGATTGCTTGAGCTCAGGAGTTCAAGACCAACCTGAGCAAGAGTGAGACCTGGTCTCTACTAAAAATAGAAAAACTAGCTGGGCATTGTAGCGGGTGCCTGTAGTCCCAGCTAGTTGGGAGGCTGAGGCAAGAGGATCTCTTGAGCCCAAGAGTTTGAGGTTGCTGTGAGCTGTGATGATGTCACAGTGCTCTCCCAAGGGGACAGAGTAAGACTCCGACTCAAAAAAAAAAAAAGATTCCTTTCAAAATACTACTACTCATTGTCAATGCACCTGGTCACGCAAGAGCCTTGATGGAGAATGTACAAGAAGATGGATGTTGTTTTCATGCCTGCTGACATGGCATTCATTCTGTAGTCTATTGATCAAGGGGTTAGTTCAGCTTCCAAGTCTTATTGTTTAAGAAATACATTTCATAAGGCTATAGTTGCCATTGATAGTGATTTGATTCCTCTGATGGGTCTGACATAAGAAAATTGATAACCTTCTGAAAAAGACTCATTACTCTAGATGCCATTAAGAGGCCACAGTACCCACATAAACAGGAGTTTGGGAGAAGCTGATTCCAACCCTCTTGGATGACTTTGAGAGATTTGAGACTTCAGTGGAGGAATTCACTGTAGATGGGTGGAAATAGCAGAATTAGGATCAGAAGAGGAGCCTGAACATGGGACTCAATTGCTGCAGTCTCATGATAAAATTTGAATAGATGAGGAGTTGCTTCATATAGATGAGCAAAGACAGTGGTTTCTTGAGATGGAATCTACTCCTGGTGAAGATTCTGTCTATGTACATTGTTGAAATGACAACAAAGAATTTAGAATTATTATCTAAACTTAGTTGACAAAGCAGCACCAGGGTATGAGAAGACTAACTCCAAGTATGAAAAACTTCTACTGTGGGGAAAATGCTATCAAACATGCTACAGAGAAATCTTTTGGGCTTGGCACTTGTGGCTCAGCTGCTGGAGCGCCAGCCACATACACAGGAGCTGGCGGGTTCAAACCCAGACCCAGCCTGCCAAACAACAATGACAACTACAACAAAAAATATACCCAGGCATTGTGGCGGACATCTGTGGTCCCAGCTACTTGGGAGGCAGAGGCAGGAGAATCGGTGGAGCCAAGGAGTTGGAGGTTGCTGTGAGCTATGATCCCATAGCACTCTACTGAGGGCAACATAGTGAAACTGTCTCAAAAAAAAAAAAATGATAGGGCGGCACCTGTGGCTCAAAGTAGTAGGGTGCTGGCCCCATATGCCAGAGGTGGTGGGTTCAAGCCCAGCCCTGGCCCCAAACTGCAAATAAATAAATAAATAAATTTTTTGTGAAAGAGTCAATTGATGCAACAAACTTCATTGTTTCATTTTAAGAAATTGCCATACCAGTCCAACCTTTACAAACCTCACCCTGATCAGTCAGCAGCCATCAGCATCCACAAAAGACTGTCTACCAAGAAAAAGATTAGGACTCTCTGAAGGCTCAAATGATTGTTAGAATATTTTAGCAGTATCTTTTAACTAAGGTATATATATTGTTCTTTTAGACATTATGCTCCTGCACACCTAATAGACTATAGTAAATATATTATGACATACATAGTAAACATTTTATGATGTTAATAGTGCAAACATAACTTATACGTAGTATGCACTGAGATACCAAAAAATGTATGTGATTCTCTTATGGCAGTGGTCTGAAACCAGACCCAAATATTTCCAAGGGATCCTATAATTATGGTACATTTACACTGCTAACCCAATTTATTTGGATATGTAACAACTGGTATACTAAGAAGCTTCTACTATGGGACAATCTCCAACTATCTACGCTCTCTGATTTTATTATTTTTATTCCTTTGAGACAATAGTCTCACTCTGTCGCCCTGGTAGGGTGCTATGGGTCACAGCTCACAGCAACCTCAAACTCTTGGACTCAAGCGACCCTCTTGTCTCAGGCTCCCCAGTAGCTGGAACTGCAGGCACCTGCCACAACGCCAGGCTTATTTTTCCACTTTTAGAGACAGGGTCTTACTCTTGCTCAGGTTGGTCTTCAACACGTGTAAGGTAAGAGATCCACCCGCCTGAGCCTCTCAGAGTGCTGGGGTTACAGGCGTGAGCCACCGCAGCTGGCCTACTTGGCTTTTTAATGAGTTGATGTACTTTCAAAGTTATCCTCTGTCTGCTCAGACGTAACACAGTGGAAACATCTAAGCAAGAGACTGCTGGAGTAATCGGTTTCCTGAAGACACAGGAGACTGTCAGGGGGTATGCAATACGTGGTAATTCCAATAGTAAAAAGTCAGAAAACAACCAGAACTTAATATGGTCTATTAAATGGCGGCTGAGAACGTTGGGTCACCGCCGGAAAGCCACGTATACCCCAAGGCTTCGCTCACGCGATTCCTTTTCCCTGACTGAGACACTGTGCCACCGCCGTCTCCAGTCTGAGGTTCTGGCGCGCCTTGCGCTGCTCTTGGCGGGAAAGGTGACTTGGACTGCGGGTCAAAAGGCCCCCATCGCGCCCTGGCGGGTGACCGTTGAAGGAAAGCGCATGCGCGGAAGGCAGAGCACGCGACGCGTCCTGAAGGTCTTCTGGTCGCCGGCGCCCGCCTGTCAGGTGTTCCGTAATATATGTTAGTATATATGTATTTTTACTTTTTAACTTCTTTTCCTGTCACCTTCCCCCTACTTTTAAGTTTCTTAAGATCTTAGTGGCAAAGCATTTGGGGGCAAAAGTGTATACGTATTTTTCTAAGAGGTTCTTGAGGTAGAGTTCGTACTGGTGACTAGTCGAGGCTTTGTTTGGGAGAATTTAAATGTTTAAAATAAACTCTTCTGGTTGAATTGTCTGATTACGAAAAATGAAATTGGGACCAAAAACTTGAAACTTAGCATCAATATATCATGGTTGTGATGGAGAAATCGGAATCAGTCATGATAATGTAGAAAATCTTCCATCGCCTTTTCGTGTTTCACAGAGGAGACAGTGTGTATCCCAAGCCATGCTAAAGTTCAGTGAAGGAAAGTTACCTGAATTGGTTTTTTGACGCTAAAAATCTTACAAAAGTTAAGAGATTTTAAAAGGTTTGGCAGGGGCAGATTTTCATTACCTAATACCTACGGGCACGGTGTTGTCATGCTTGAATGCTATATAGCGAAGGAAAATGGGAAGATTAAGCCTTCTTAAAAAGTTGTTTTTGAAGAATTTTTTAATTACCCATTTATGTGAGACTTGCTATTTAAATGGCTTAAAATTAAGAGTTTCCTCAAAATAGTTGTACAGCAATTTGCACCTACGCATTTTTGAAGATTCCATTTTAAGTAAATCTTCAAATATTTTCACATAAAATTCTTTCCTTCCAGTTTTGTATGCAGTGAACTATAATGGTAAAGATAAAAATAAGATCTAAAGTCAAAGTTTATATTTGTGTCACAGGTTGAGTTAAAGAAAATATTTTTATCAGAAGATGGCCACAGCACAGTTGCAGAGGACTTCCATGGTATGATTTCTTATATTTTAATATATTGTAACTTAGCTGATTTTATTGATTCTTGACGTCTCAACTACTATATTTTTATATTTGCAAGTCAACTGTTTGAGAGTTTAATGATTCCAGGAAACTCCATGTTTTTAAAAATGGAAATATACATTAAACTGTTTTTTCTTATTAAATCATAGCTGTGTACATTAATGCAATCATGGGGTACAATGTGCTGGTTTTATATACAATTTGAAATGTTTTCATCAAACTGGTTAACATAACCTTCACAGCATTTTCTTAGTTATCCTGTTAAGACATTTATTTTCTACACCTAGTAAATTTCACAGGTACCCTTATAGGATCCACCATAGGTGTGGTCCCACCAATTACTGTCCCTCTACCCATCTCTCCCTCCTCTCCCCTTTCCCCCTTCTTCTTGGGCTATAATTAGGTTATTGCTTTCATAGGAAAGCTATACATTGGTTTCATACTAAGACTGAGTACATTGGATACTTTTTCTTCCATTCTTGAGATACTTTGCTAAGAAGAATATGTTCCAGCTCCATCCATGTAAACATGTAAGAGGTAAAGTCTCCATCTTTCTTTAAAGCTGCATAATATTCCATGGTGTACATATACCACAATTTATTGATCCATTTGTGGGTCGATGGGCACTTGGGCTTCTTCCATGACTTAGTAATTATGAATTGGGCTGCAGTAAACATTCTGGTACATATATCTTTGTTATAATGTGATTTTTGGTCTTCTGGATATATATCTAGTATTAAACTATTTTTTAATTAATGGTAAATTCTACTGGATGATTGATACATTATATTAAATTGCTGGTTCGAACTTAATTTACATTAGGTATTAATGAATACCATTCTGTTACTTTGAAGAAATTATTGTTCAGAGTAGTCCATCCCTACAGAATGAATATTTGTTACCCAGAGACAAAGATAAATTGGTCATTTTTGCATAGTCTCTTGCATTACATTTAATGTACATTAAACCTAGTCAGTGTCCAAAGTGAAAATCAATGTTTATCTATCCTTGTATTATGCATTTACAGTTAATCTACGAGGGAAGTCTTAAGATTTTTCAAGTACTTTTGCATATTTCTTTTAGGTGATTATCCTAGAAACATCCTCAGATTTTAGAAGCCATCCTGACCGATGTGGGGAGGAATTCTCTGGGGAGTATTATGTGTATGCAAAATTGGATCTAATTTAAGTCCAGGGAAACTTTATTTTTTCCCCTTTTATTCTAACATGTGTGTATGTCTAAAGAGAAGCTTTATTTTGAATAAATATAAATATAATGTTTTAATTTCCCTTGAATTTTAGAGTGCATTGATATTTCCTAATAAGATAACAACTGAGCAACAGTCCTTGGTGTTAGTGAAGAGGCTCCTAGCAGTTTCCGTGTCCTGCATCACATATTTGAGAGGAATATTTCCAGAATGTGCTTATGGAACAAGATATCTAGATGGTAATATAGCATATATTAATTATTTTAAAACTTTCTTTTAAAATGATATTTTTATTTTTGCTTACTCTCAAATTTTTTTTTTTTAAGAGACAGAGTCTCACTTTGTCACCCTCAGTAGAGTGCCATGGCGTCACAGCTCACAGCAACCTCCAGCTCTTGGGCTTAGGTGATTCTCTTGCCTCAGCCTCCCGAGTAGCCTGGACTACAGGCACCTGCCACAGCACCCGGCTATTTTCTTGTTGCAGTTTGGCCGGGGCCAGGTTTGAACCCATCACCTTTGGTATATGGGGCTGGTGCCCTGCTCACTGAGCCAGAGGAACTGCCCTCAAATTATAATTATTGACTTAGAAATTTTTTTTTTTTTGAGACAGAGTCTCATTTTATTACCCTTTGTAGAGGTGCTATGGCATTATAGCTCACAGCAACCTCAAACTCTTGGGCTCAAGTGATTCTCTTGCCTCAGCCTCCCAAGCAGCTGGGACTATAGGTGCTGGCCACACGCTTGGCTATTTTTAGAGACGAGGTTTTGCTCTGGCTTGGGCTGGTCTCAAACCTGTGAGCTCAGGCAATCCATTCGCCTCAGCCTCCCAAGTGCTAGGATTACAAGAGTGAGCCACCATGCCTAGCAATTTTATTTTTTGTGTTTATTTTGTTTTGTATTTTGAGATAGGTTCTCCACTCTGTTGCCGGGGTTTGAGTGCAATAGTGTCATTATAAGTCACTGCAACTTTCAGCTCCCAAACTCAACGGATCCTTCTGGTTCAGCCTTCTTTGTAGCTGGGACTACAGACATGTGGCACTATGCCCAGCTAATTTTTCTATTTTTCATAGAGATGGAGTCCTGCTCTTGTTCAGGCTGGTCTCAAACTCCTGGCCTCAAGCTGTCCTCCTGCCTCTGCCTCCCAAAGTGCTAGCATTATAGACATGTGCCACAGCACCCAGCCGAAATTTTATTTTTTAATAGCATCTCTATTGATATAATTCATGTACCTGACAGTTTACCCACTTAAAATGTAAAATTCAATGATTATTAGTATATTCAGAGAGTTGTGCAAACATCACCATAGTCAGTTTTAGAACATTTTCATCACCCCAGAAAGAAACTCTAAGCTCATTACATAGCTATCCACTGGCTTTTTTCACTCAGCATAGTGTTTCCCTGTTGTGGCATGGATAAATACTTTATTCTTTTTTATTGCTAAATCATGTTCCATTTATATGTCTATACTACATTTTATTTATCCATTTATCAGTTAATGAATATTGGGTGGGGATTTTTTGTTTTTGCAATAATGAGTAATGGCTCATTCATGCACAAGTTTTTGTTTGGGCATCTAAATAGTTTTTTTTTAACATTTAATAACTTAAAAGCACTTAATCATAAAAGTTTCAGAAAATCAGAATGATCTTAAGTATAATTTCACTTGTATTATGCATATAATAATGAAATAAATAGGTTAAAACACTGTTATTTATAAACTTGTATAGTAGTGGTATATTTCTTATGCTATTTTAAGAAAGAAAAAGTAATATAGTCAGTTTATATTACAATAATAAAGTTATTTCCCAGCACATGAGCAAAAGATTGTGTACCAATTATGTGCTAGGCAATATATTAACCATTCTATTATGCTATATTATGTACAATATGTTTTTAATTCATATATCAGTCCTACAAAGTCAATATTATCCTTGTTTCTCAAATAAGGAACTGGAGGCTATGAGATGCTCTCAGTCCTTTCCATTGTGTTAGACTTGCTTCTTTGGAGGATTCTTTGTTTTTGATAGCCAGTTAAAGGCCACCTCTTGGCCTCTTATAAATTTTACTGGGTTTCGGGTCCTTATCAAATATTCTAAGGTTTTGTGTAATGATGGATAACAGTGGCATGAAAACATTGTATCTAATTTTATGTATTTTATTTTATTTATTTATTTGTCTTTAGATCTTTGTGTCAAAATTCTGAAAGAAGATAAAAATTGTCCAGGATCTACACAGTTAGTGAAATGGTAAGTAAAAGAATACCTAAAGATAGATAATTATTTTTTCTTAAATTACATTTGTTTGGTACATTTTTTTTTTTTTT